CTGAAAAATCAGATGCTTTTTGAGATATAAAGTCAAAAAAGGTTGATTATTGTGTAGTACAAAACATCCATATTTTTATTGACATATTTTGCTCTTTGTCTTTGTGTAGTGACTCAGAAAATATGTAAGTTCCTGTATTTTTTTCAGGCAATCAGACAACAGCATATTATGTTACATTCTTTTTTTTAGAATCTTTTAAATTTAATTTTGATCAGATATGGTAGGTTTGTTGCTGATAATCTCTGGGACAATAATCCTTACTAATTTTCTTTACCAGTCATGCAGAGCCTTAGAATGCAGATATTGTTGTGGCTGTTATCTTATGTCTCATAGCATTTTAGGTATATCAAAAACTTTGATGAGAAATTTCTTTTTGTTAAAATTTCAGACAAGCAATAGAATTTAAGTAAAAACCCTGTATTTTGTAATCCACACTTAAGAGGTTTTTAAAAGAGATATTTTATTTTTAGAGGCTTTTACTGGATGGGGGGCATATAATATATTTCTCATTGACCTAAATTTCATAGTTAGGCTGAGGATAGGAGTATAGCAGCCATATCCTGATTTCTCACAGTTAGGCACACAGCACACAAAGGCGCATGCATATATAAATTTCATTTCCAGGTATAAGTATGGCACTGGATATAGCAGGGCCATATTCAGGATTCCTAACCTTTCCTAACGTAACCTAACTTAACCTAATCAAGTGTAGTATCATCATCTCGTGTTGCTGCCACCATCTTGTTTGTGGGCAGAATTACAATTTCACCAAGCATACCCAGAATACAGTCATATGAAAAACTATCACCAATCAGGATATGGCTGCTGTACCAGTAGTCAGTGTGTTATAGTTATAGTAAATCTGAAGTATTTTAGATTTCAGTTGTAAAGTTAGATTCATTTAACCATTAATTGCACTAACCACTGCTTTGTAAATTTTGTTGAACAAAGTTGGCTTCACAAGCCCTTAGTCACCAAGGAGTCAATTATTAGGTCTACTTGACCTCACTTGATGTTCCCATTACCTGAATTTTCTGAATTTCCTTTCCTTTTTCAAGCCAGTAATAACATTACTGTTATTAACATCATGACTGGTATTGGAATTATTATGATGTTAATGTTAACATTAATGATAATAAAAAATGAAAAATAAGGATCTTTCTTAAAATCAAGAAAATGGTAAATAGGTGAAGTCAGGCTGTAGGACTAACAATTGTCTCCATGTTGATGAAGCCTTTGTGGAGGCATCTGTGTGACTACAAAATAAACTAAAATCACAGTGGATCTAACCAGTACTTTTACTGTTAATGGGTTAAATTATATAATTTGAGAAGATTCACATTTCCTGCTTTTTTATGTAAGTGTTTACAATTTTAGATAGAAACATACTCAATAACAACTGCAAAGATGAAGTTAGAATAGTTCATAAATTCTAAATCCATGTATGATAACTACCCTCAGCAATGGTATGCTGCACAAGTCACCATGATCTGCTCTTGGCTGAGTGAAAGACTTGACCACAACCTCCATCCATACCAGTGCACCTGCCTCGCACACATTGTCAAGGTGAGTTAGATGCTGCTAAGACTGTTTGGGCTTCAGAACAGTGAGTATATATACATTTATTAATTTTTCTATGTAGTGTTCCCTAGTTTATTTTGCACTTTTTAACATGTCCCATTGCTATGTTGATTGAGGTTGGTTGCACAACTGACTTTTTTAAGTTGAATTTGTTTCATTAGTTTTTGGTTTGGTAGATGGTATGTAAGATTGTTATAGAGTATGAATACAAGTATTTTCACTGTAAATGAATTGGATATGGATTTGCACTAGCTACCTGATGAGTTAGCCTTTTAGTATTATCACAGTTTAAGGTCAGGTTTTCAAGGAAAGAATATCACATTGCCTTTTGGAGATGTTTCATGTTCAAACTTTGTCTCAATCTTTCCTTTCGAAGACTGCATCATGAAATATATTGTCAGTCTGAGAAAGGCTTTGATCATTTTCTCCATGAAAAACTGGCTTTTCAATTTTTTCTGGTTTCATTTCTTTTAGTGTCCCCCCCCCTGCTCTTCAACTATAATCCTTTGAATTGAGCTGCATCTGTTCTCCCCCTTAGCTTTCAGTCCAGATGGTAGAAATAGCCTGGTGATCACTTTTTTTTTTTTTTCTTTTTTTTTCATAAAGTACAACTTTTTTTTGAGCTGACTTGACATATACCTTATAGCTTGTGTAGTGAAGAGTAGTCATTCTAGAAAGATCAGAAGGGAAGTGTCAGCATGATCGACAGCCTCCTTCTATTAATCTGGACCTCCTCGTCACCTCCTTGCACCATCTGGCAGTCAACCTGAGGCTCCGTTTATTTGCTTTTTTTCAGCTCATATTCTCAGATTTCACAGCGTATGGCCTAGGCCACGAACAGACTGGGATACAGGCCTACATGGTGGTGAGCCAGCGTGTGGAGGCCGAGCATCAGCGCCTGATTCGAAGCGGCAAACTCAAGGAATAAGTCAACCCTTCCCGTCGTCAAAACCATGTCCCGTGTTGTTGTCTTAGTCTTAGGATCTTTTCGTGGCAGGATGAGTGTTTAGATGCCTGAGCGCTGCAAACCAATGACTTTGGCAACCCGTTAATTTCCCTCCCACACAACAAAGTTGCCAGAACTCTTGTCGGACATTTCATAGAAAATGCGACTTCACATATATTCAAGATTAATCCTGACGTCCGGTTTCTGTCCAATACTTACCTATGCAAAGCAAGTTCTACAGACCATTATTAACATGTGATTTGCCTTGGCTGCCATATTTATTTGGTGCAGCTTTGGGACCATCACCAAGTAAAAGCTATATATCTATCTATATCTGTATATATATACCAGTGTTTCTCTTTGACATGCAGGAGTTTAAGCACTCTTCCTATAGACAGAACTCACACTTCCCTTGATCTACGGGAGTCCTTCGAGCTACTGTGGAGAAGGTGGCTGCTGGTGACCTACTACACATGTGTTATTATATCTTCTAGAATCTTACCTCTAACACACAGTTTCGATGTTTATATTTTGCTGTGCTGTGTTTTATTCATTTATAAAGCTATGATTCTCATTCTGTAGTCATGGGATTTTGAAAAATAATGGCAAAAACTGTTGTTCTTAACTAATCTCTAACTGCTGTGCCTCTAAAAAAGGGAGATTAATGAATGAGTTATTGAACAGTATATTATTCTACTAAGATATATCAGCTATATGGAAGTTTTAATACACAAGCTACGTTATACAGACTGATTTGGGAATAAGACAGAAAGAAAAACAAATTATTTTCATACCCAGTAGAAATACATCTAACCTTAGATTACATAGATAATTTCTGTATGAATATTATCCTGAGAAATTTCTGCATCCAACAGGGTATGGTAAAGTAATGAATTAGAAAGTGTTTGATACTCTAAAAAGGCTTTATCCAGAATCTGAATAATATCATGTTAAGGATCATAAATGTATTTGTATATATTTTCCTTGCATATAAAAAAGATACTATGAGAAGCACATGATCCAGTAAGATTATATCTCCCAGTTATAATTTCTGACTTCTTTTGTTTTATTTATTTTTCGCAAACTCATTTCACTCCCTTCTTCATACTTTCTGTTAAAGGAAAATAGCCTTCTACTGTGTCACTGCATGTGCTTTGGATATGTACGTACCTTTGCTCAAAATTTAATGTCCTAATTCTGTACTTATAAAGAAAAAAATCAGTGTTTACTCCTCCACTCATAATATAACCATGGCTTCTGGTGTATTCAACCCTACACTATAAACAATAATATTCATCTAATGAGTACAATATTGGTAATGTGTAATCAAAAAAGTTCTATTAACTTTTCTGCTCTGCATTTCTATAGAGAAAAATTTGTCAGTGAATGATATTACCAATTATTGAAGATATATCAGTGCCTAAAATGCTTTTTGTCATATTTTATTCAAGCATTGCATCATCAACCTAAAATATAAAAATTAGTTTATGAGATTATTTCAAGTGTGAGATTTAATATTCTTTTTATTCTGTATGATGAGATGCTGATTTTCAAACTATGAAAAATATATTTGTTTAGAATAAGAATATATTTTCTGAATTAATTTGAAATTAGGCAAAGAAGATTGATAAATCAAATTTTTAACAATGACCTATTTCTTCTATATTTCCATTTCTTTTTTCTTTTTAATTATGTAGGAGTTTCAATTTAGTTGTATATAGACTGATGGCTTCAATTGATAGTGGTGATGAATATATTTTTCACATCTTTATTGAGTAGATTATTAATGCATTTTCAAATTAGGCTATTACATATTTTTTATAAGATATGCAAGTATGAGGTATGAATTGATGTGTGAGCCTTGTAATAATGTAATCAGTAACCAGTAAGTGAATATTATTTTTTTTTGCTTTGCTTATGATATGATTCTAAAAGTTGGGTTGAATTCATAACAGTTTTAATCCGGAAAATGTACGACAAGTCACAGCTGTAGCCAGAGTGGGTTTTCTCTTGCTATTATGACTATTGTATATTTTATTATGATTTTATCCCTATTCTTTAATTTTCCATTTTCTTCTCTGTTCCTTCTTTCCTGAGATTCATCACTTTTACCTGAATTATGGGAGACAGATACATGTGCTTAATCTTATTAACATGGCAGTAAATACATACTTTCAGAAATGAAAGTGTATGAGTAATACAATCAAATCAAGAAAGGAGCTAATGATATATAACAGATTGAGAAAGTTGAATTCCCGCAGATTGTTTATTGAATGATAGCAAAAATAAAATAGAGACAAATGTCTAGTCATGGAAAAGATGTAGATATATTACTTTATTTGATAACTGGGAATACAGTCAGTTTCATTCATAATAAAGAAATGCAGATAACTCTTTTAATTTTTGTGGCATTTGATGGTTTTTAGTATTATAATTCTTTCAAAGACAAACCATATGGCAAAGTAAAAACATTTAGAGTGTGTGTTGCAGTGTACTGGGTTACTCATTCATTAGATAAATAATGATTTATAATATATTCTGCAGCAGTGCATTTTATGCTAAGGCTGAATCCTGACAGTTCCGTGCAACATATTACACCTATAAGTAATATGTTGTGTTGTATTTTGTTTAACGAAAGTGAAAAAGAATGGTTACTGTAGATAGTTTCAGAAATCAGCCGTTAACTAAGTTATGGTGGAGTGACAGTGATTGATTTTATCCTCAGCTGTTTATGAAAAACTTCCAAACATGATAATATGATTTTATTTTTTGGTCTTGTTTTTACTGAGATGATTTTTGTTCACATTTCTGCACTGCAAACAAACCAAGTGCCATGTCATTTTGTGTAATGATGCATGCCCTCTCTTAGCATTAAACTGCATTTATCCTTTCATTTCTGACATTGTTCATTTGCAACATGGTATGTACAGGAAGTATCTTCCCATAATAAAAAATGCATGTTAATAAAATACACTTCGCATGAGAACCCTATAGTTTCCTTGAACACCACATGCTGTATAAGTTGTATATTGTTTGTATTGTACTTTTGTTATTGTATTTAGTATTGTTTGATCAGAAATATTTAAAAGTATTCATTTTTTGTATTACCCATGAACTGAACTTTGGATTTCAATATGAAGATGTTGATTAGAATATGAAAATAAGAGCTAATGCTTGTACATAGTTTGATAAGAAAAGAAAAAAAGGTGACAAGGGGTGTCTATCACTTTGCTCATTAATATTCTGAGTGATTCACTTTTTTCTGCCTCTGTTTCCAGAGGCAGATAAAAAAATATATTATTTACATGTAAATGTAACATAATTTTTATATTTATGATTAAGTTTTCAAATATTTAAGAACTGTACACAGATTGTCCAAAAGTTTTAAAGACATATAGAATTTTATGAATGGGAGTCGTGACTAATTATAGTATTAACATTCTCTCTGCTAGTTTACTTCCCTCTTTCAATCATAATAAATCTAGTTTGAAAAATATATATGGCTTAATTTCACTCAAGGTAAAGAAGAATAGCAAGAGAAAATGTGTATAAATTTTGTCACATTTTTTTTCTATGACTAGAAGTAGCGCGCTGGAGGTAATTAGTGTCTGTGCAGTCCAAGTAGCCAATGATTAGTGGGGAACTTGCTTAGTTCCTTCACTCTCTTGAGTCTGAAGCTTGGGTTAGAAATTGAAATTATATTTTTCTCTCTCTCCTGTTCTGCATTTTGACTGTTTACCTCATCCTGTCCTGTCTGATTATTGTCAAGGAATGTGAATTATGTTCAATCATCAACTATTTTAGTACGGAATTTTCAACACACACACACACACACACACACACACACACCACACACACACACACACACACACACACACACACACACACACACACACACACACACAAACTTACACACACAAACATTTACATACACAAACATACAAACACACACACACACACACACACAAACACAACACACAGACCCACACACAGACACCCACACACACAGATACACACACAGACACACAGATACACACAGACACACAGATACACACACACAGATACACACACACAGACACACAGATACACACACACACACACACACACACACACACACACACACACACACACACACACACACACACACACACACACACACACACACACACACACACACACTTACAACTTACACGCACACAACTGTACATATACACAAATATACAAATACATAAACATTCAAATACACCCACACATGCACCTTCAAAAGTGATCCAATTTTTGCCACCAGTATCAAGGACCAATATTTTCTTATCATTATTGTTAACATTATTACTAGTTAGATAACTGAAACAAAAACAAGCCAAACCTTTGCAATAATAGACCTTTTATGTCTCTCTTGCAACAACAGAAAATCTATACTGACTTCGAACTGCAAGGCGTAATGGAGGAAAAGCTGAACACTAAAACATACCAAACTATAAGCCAGCGCATGGCCACAGAGGAGGCAGCCTGTGCTCTCATGGAGGGCAGCCGACGTGCTGCTGGAGATGATGAGTGAGTAGTCTATCCTGTTATCTCTGGGGTTTTACATGCATGTGGATCATAGAGCACCTTTGGGGGAGTCGGTCAAATGTATTTTGTTTTTGTTTTGTTTTTTTTGTTTTTTATTAAGAAGGGGTACTAGGAGAGCATTTTTTTATTTGTTGACTTGGAAGTTTTGGATACAGAAAGGATATGTGTGATAAAGCTAAAAGAAAAAAATAAGGGGATTAAAGAGCATCAGATATAGCTTTTGAAGTGTTTTAACATTGTTGTATATATGCCTTGTTTGTGGTAATGTAGTAGTGAGTGGAATTATGGGGAAAAAAGGATGATAGATGACAATAATGTATTTATTTAACTAATAAGCTGTATTTTGCTTGGGTGCATTGTCCAGATATGTATAAATCTGTGCAGTCTTTGATGTTCCTTTCCAACTTCACTGGTAGTGATACAATGCATGGATTTGTGTGGAATTCTGTCTATACTGTATCATGCAGTGTTTGATTGTAAGTTGAAATAGGCAGTCAATTGTGTAGAGTACTTTTTTCACTATGATATGAAGATACACCAGTTTATTCATTTTTATTCATGTATTTATTGCTTTTGAAATTCATTCAAACTATTCAATGGCTACTGTTGTTCACAAATTAAAATAGAAAATATTTTTTTAAGTTTTGATTTTACAGACTTTTTGCTTTTGTACTGGCTTCTAACTATTCTGAACTTATAGACAAATTCCATTCTCTCATTGATTTAGAAAAAAATGGATTCAGCAAATACCTAGCAAAAATAGGAACAAAAATCTTTTCACTCTTCACAATGTCCTCTTCAGGATATTCACTCTTCTTAACCTCTCTTTACCTACTATAACCTCATAGAATTGAATCAAGGTAAAACAAACTCTCCTATTATAAGAATCAGCGCTATTTATTACATGCTTAGCATAGTTTAGATCTCAATGCTTGTTGCTAGTGCCAGCTTTTCAAGAGAAAGGAACACATGCAATATTAGATTTGCTGTGTCTAGTAAGTTTTTTTTTTATTCAGGTTAGTTCAAATATATACATATATGAAAGCATGAATAGCTGTATATTTTACAAAGGATTTTGATAAAGAACGAATTTGCTGGTATTTTTTGTAAATTGAATATAATGACATATTTAAGAATGTGTATTTTAATGGCATTTCATGTAAATACAGTAGACATAAAAGATGCCAATTCTTTGGTATAGTTATCATAAGTAATTTTGAATGAAAGATTGACAGTGCTAAACTTCTACTTTCTCTTTGCCTTTAAAGAGACACTGCATAGTGAAAGTTATATTACAAAGGAATTTATTTTTTATTATTTATAATATTATCTTATTCAATTCTTTTACTAATACCTGTCATTCATTATCTCTTGACAGCTGTTTTGGGTTGAACAAACATAAAAATTAAAATGATTTCTTGATCTCAGCTAATGCTTGTTTCACATTAGAATGTTTATATCTATAAGATAAAAAAGAAGAAAAACTAAGGGAACAAATTTCATAAAAACATTTATTCATTACAAACCCACTGCTGTTCATCCAAGACAGTTGGTGATTAAGAAGTGAAAGAAAGGGGGGGAAAAATACATCACTTTTTGATCTTCAAATTTATGTAATAACTTTAGATAATTCCATGCATTCAGAATTTTGTAAACAGAGGGGAAAGAAATACATATTTTATATATGAATATACATTATGACCGTTAATTTTGAACTTCCTCTTCCCCCTCCCTGCATGCCATGCACAGTAACCAGTCGTATGTATCAGTCCACATCTACAAACACTAGCTTCTTGGTAGCATGTCTCTAGCACTAGATTTCTCCTATAGATACCAGATTGAATACTGAAATACTAATGAATATCGCCCAGGAATGGATAGATATCTACACCATGGGACAAATCTTAGTCTGACTCTTTGTTTATATCAAAATGAAACACTAATGATGTGACTGATTTTAGGTCACCTTACTGACAGATTTTTTCTTTTCTTTTCATTATATGTATAGATAAAGGAAGGCTTTTGACTAAGGATGTGTTTGAATTTTCAGAGTGTGTTAAGTCATAAGATTTCAATTTTTCTTAGTTAGAAATGGAGAATTGCAGAAATTCTCTTTGTCTTTGATCCAGTGCATTAACCCCCAAATGCCCATGTTGCTGTATATAGCCATGGTATCAAACAGCCAACCTACCATATTTTAGCTACATTATTTTCTTGGCTGTGTCCTTAAAAAGAATATGTATGAACTGCTGAGGTGGTGCATAGCATAGAATAATGATGTAATATTATCATATGCATGTAGTATATTTTATAGTGGTATAAAGTATTTTGTATGTCCAGTATTGCCACATATCTCCATGCAGAGAGAGTAGCAGCAATCACAAGTTTGTCCAGCACTGACCCATCACTCACAGGAGATAACTGATAGCTCCGACCTACAATTCCCCATGTGTGCTAAGAATATTTATGGTTCTAATCACTTATGGCACCAGAAAAGCTTGAATGCATGATCGCAGTCACTTAGTGAAAGCCAAAGAAGCATTGTGCATATTCAAGGGGATAGATAGGGAGAAATAGAGAGAGAGTACAATAATCACACAAATTACATACATCATTTGTACTTCCTATAAAATACTCTTGTATCTCAAAACAGAATATAAATTGTAAGTCTAATAATAACCACAATAGGAGATAACATATGCAGCATAAAATAAAAACATTGCTTCAACAGGAATGAACATGACATTCAAACTCATGAAGTTCCTCTTTGGCAGTAATAAAAACTGAAATGGATTGACAAAGGTGATCTAGACAAGCATAAATTATAAAGAGAAAGATGGCCGTAGAAGTAAGGACTGATTCTGGTCCTGAGAGGAGAGTCAAGGTCAAGCAATCCTGAGAAAGTTTTGCCTACTAAAAATGGCACAGTATTAGCCATGACCCATTGGCTAGCACTAAATCACCTGGTCTGAAAATCATTAAAAAATATTTCTGCCAAATGGTTTAGAATCACAGATTAATCAAGCATTATTCCAACAAAGCATATGACCATCACCCTTGAATGAAATAAGAATTCATATTCACTTTCCATTTGTTTGTTTGTTTGATTGATTATTTGTATAGTTGCCTATTTAAAATTTCAGCTACATCTTACAAGTGATGGTGCACATATCCAGAGAAGTATCAAGGGCACTGTTGGCTTTATTGTGCCTCATGAAAGATTTGCACATGCTGGAATACTACTTCAGTACATCTTGGCCATACTCTATAATTTGGCTAGGATAATCAGCAAAAATGTGTGCTGTCATTTAATATGTGGATGTTATTTACCCTGAACATATTGGGCCGTGGTATATAACATACTTAATGAGATGGCTCTTGTGAATGCTTGACATCATTATATGGCCATCAACCACATTTACAACAGAAGTTACTCTTGTATCTTTCAAATTGAAATCTGAATTTTGAGTCTTTTGATAAGCAGAAAAGAAGAAATTAATGATTAGACCTACACAACACTATCCTTTCCCCCAAAACACATATTTCCGGTGACTAGGATATCTACCTCACATTCCTGCATATGCATCTGCACTTGTGGTCATATTTTGCCTATAAATAATTACTTGGACAGGGCTATCACCAACTACCTCTGCTTTATAGGAAACTTAAAGTGGATGAAGCAGAACCCATTTCAGATACTCTTGATCAGTTTATTAGTGTTGCAACAAATGCTGAATGTAAGGACATGGCAGGTTCTACTGCAAGTGACACTGCCACTGCCCATGTAAGTGATAGTGAAGTCCCAAAAGTTAAGGCCAGAGCAGTTTCACCAACTCACAGATTTAATGATAGAGCCATGTGACTTCAGTCATTCATACCTGTATTCCAAGATAACAGTGGTGTGAAGAATTGCAAACTTGGTGAAGGGAGTTGTGCATATATTTTCTTCACTCTCTTCACAAATTATATGATCATGAACATATGTGAAGAAACTTACGAATAACAGTGTCAGTGCCTATAAGTTTGTGCCATTCCTGTAGCACCAAAGTGTACAGATGTGACCTCGCAAGAACTGTAGGGATTTTTTCTTTCCCTTTTCCCTTTTTTTCATTCTTTCTTCCTTTCTTTCTTTCTTACTGATATCACATGCAAACAATCATAAGGAATTAGTAGAGACAGACAGCCTAACATGCATTGACATTTGGAAATTTTATGACAAGGAATCATTTTTTTAGCAGTAATGAAGATGCAAACCCACAAGAGTATAAGGCAAGAACACACACTGTATTCATTTTGGTGAGAGAGAATGTTCATAACATCACTATGCCATTTCAAAAGCTTGAGATTGTGTAATTTTCTAGAATTACATATATAGCAAGCATTATAGAGTTGGACTGAAGTCTTTAGCATTGTACCTGCAAATCTGGTGATGTTCTGGATATGTGCAAAGCTCAAGGTTACCTTGTTAACCACTGGGCACAAAGAGGGGATGGCAGCAAAATCCATTTCCAGTATGAATCAGTTGAGAAATGTGAGAGAACTGACAAGCAACATAAAGTCTTATGTTCCACATGATTGATGTCATGCTTGACTTCTTCTACCTATAATGTTTGAAGATTGAGAAAGGCTAACTATAAATAACCTCATAATGCAAAAACTAGATAGAATGGCACTTTCAAATGCATTATTCCAGCCAAACCATTTACAAGTCCTTGGCATTGATTACGGCCCTTTATCTTGTATCAGGACTATGGAGAAGAGGTGTAGTATACAAATTTTCACTATATGGGCTGTGATTGCATAATACATGATGTTCCATTCTTCAGAGATTACTATAGCTTAGACCTTTACTGATTTTGGTTTTGCCTTTATGTGGGATTTCTATTTGCACATGAAGACTGTAGGTTTATTAGTATCCAGAAGTATATATCATATTATCAATGAGGGAAGAGGCAAAATAAAGAGTACTTGGGCACAGTATACATGGGGAAAGAAAAATATTTAAGAAGAGCAAAAGGTAAAACGATAATGAGAAAAGAATATAAGAAGAGTAAAAAATATTTATTAAAAGGAGCGACAAGAAATTATGTGTAAGAAAAAGAGGAAATTAAAAAAGTAAGAGGATTAACAGATTGGAAGATACATCTTTCTCTCTCTACTTTCAACTACTGGGTACTGGACAGTGCAAGGGACACTATAGTGTGATAATTGCTAATCTGTTGGCTTTTTTTTAGGTCAATACTGCAGCCAACTTTTATTAGAGGTTCATAACATTACTATGGAGAAGTAAACTTGGTATGTCAGCAAAATATTTCAGCACCAGTGTATGCTTTCATGGAAATTTTATAGCAATATTGATTACATATTTAAAATCAGCACAAAATTGCTCTTCATTTAATAT